GGCAATTGTTGAGTTGAAGTCATAGATGAAAGAGAGACAGGTAGAGATACAGATATCCTACTCTGGTTAATATTTTCTTTTTATGAGCCACTAAAAATTAGAATTTGGTGACAAATTTAGGATTGGTTCTGGGAGTGACAACCAAGGCTTGTTGGCATTGCATAAAATTTAGAGTCCTCTGGTTTTGCTCTCCTGATAAGGTTCTGTGCAAGTTGGTGGAGAGCATATCGTGAGAGTCCAGGATTTGATTCGCAGACCAATTGCTGTGCCAAAGATTCAAAAGGCAATTAGACTTTCTTGGTTTTTTTTATTTGAAAACCTTTCACTTCTCATCCAAGAAACTTCTTCATTTCTGATTGAATTGTGAGGAATGGAAGGATTTATATTTTTGTATAGTCATCTGGTCATTTGTATTGTGAAGATTATTAGCTCTCTGAGAGACGTTGAGGCCACTTGGGGGTTTATCTGTACCCTCAGGATCACCTGAATCATAGTGCAAATGGGTATCTGGAACCTTCTTGGAATACCTACTGCATCCATAGTTTGCCTCTGTGAAGCTTTCCTTTTTACCTGGTCTCTCCTTGGAGCAATACCTATTAACTCTGAGAAGGCAAAGTATACCAGCAGGATTCCATTTTGTTTTAAAATGTCATGTCTAGAACACTGCCAACAAATCCTGGCCTTTTGTGCTAGAGTCCTTACATCAGTTGCAAATTCATAAGTGACATAATGCACGTTGTGTCATTTGTCTTTCTGAAGATGCACAAAGTTTGACAGACTCAGGGTTTTTCTCACCATTGCATTGAAGAACCCTCTGCCTATTCCTGAGTTGGCAACAAAATTCTTTTTTTTTTCTGCCGCCTGACTTCCCCCAAAGTTTATGGTGATTTATTTTATACAAATTAAAGCTATCTTAAGAATACTGAATTTAACTCCGGTATAGCGAAGGATGAATTAATGCTGTTTCACTCATGGTCAGGGGATGAAATGAAGACAAAATCAGGCCTAAAATATGTCAAGGCATGTTTAGGCTGTGGTTAGGTGTCAGTGGGGGAAAAACCCTGAGAGGGACAAAGCAAAAAGCAAACAAAAGGTATCTAATTTTAATGTATGTTTTGGCTGAAGCTAATAAAATGGCTATGATTTAGATGATAATTCCTAGTAGGATCGTTTCATGCATTATACTTCCTATGCCTACCTTTTACATATTTAAAACTGTGAAGACAAATAAGAGGATTGTGCGGTGAACCAGGTTGATGCCGTATGCTGACTGCCAAGCATTGGGTTGTTGTAATGTATAATGTAGGATAACCCTAGAGCAGGGGGTCTTCAAACTTGGCAATGTTAAGACTTGTGGGCTTCAACTCCCAGAATTCCTCCTCCAGTCATGTTAGCTCAGGAATTCTGGGAGTTGAAGTCCACAAGTCTTAAACTTGCCAAGTTTGAAGACCCTTGCCCTAGGGTATCAGGCAGGAAGTGACAGATTCTGTCAGCTTCTTAATTAAGGCTTTTGAAGATAGTTTTCTAAGATGATGAAGAAGCTTACTTTTTTTCAAGGAGGGAGTTTATTTGGAATGGAATCTCTTCCTCCCAAAAGTGCTTTTTCAGGAGGCAATTGGACTTTCTGGTTTTTCTTTGAAGACATTTCGCTTCTCCAGCTCTAACTTGATGGTGGGGAATGGAAGGATTTATACTCCTTGCAGATAGCTGGTCATTTGCATTCTTTTTAGAGAGTCATTGAGGCCACTTGGAGGTTTATCTGTGTCCTTAGGGTCACCTGAGTAGGGCAAATGGGTGTGGAGCCTTGGCTGCACGATCTTTTCTTTGCCCCGTGTCCCTTCACTGTTGAAGGTAGGTGCAGGTTGTTGGGGATGAGTCTGTGTTGTCTACATCTCAAACTGAAGCACAAATGGTTCCTGTAGTCTGCAGTTTTTCTGGAAATCCACAGATCCCTTCCTTCTCAGAATTAAAACTTGACCTATCCATTTAGAGAGTTGCTCTTGTACAGGAGTGCAAATCTGGAAGTACATTCACTAGTTACAAGGATGTCTTTTTTGCAAACTTTTTCAGGTCATTTCCTTGACTACTGTGATAGGTCAGCTTTGCTATCCTGTTATTTTGGGTCCATTTAAATACTCTAAAGCAGGGCTGTCAAACTTGTGGCCCATGGGTTGAATGCATCACATGCTGGCCACACCCCCATCCTGTTTAATGAAGGGGGGGAAGTCCCAATACATCACGTGACGCTGCCATGATGACACAAGTTTGACACCTCTGTTCTAAAGTATTAAGAGTTTTTTTCTGATCTCTTGGCTTTGGTCTGAGTGGAGTTGAGGGGAATGTAGTGCAATACATCTGCACCAGAAGAAAAAAAGGTATGGCATGCAAAGAGGAAAGCAAAGCCCTATCCCTTTGTATGTGCATATCATGATGACAAGTACAAATGGGGTGGGCCTTTGTGCTGCCACCATCACCATCTTGGTTTTTTTGGACTCTCCTGCAAATGCCACTGCATGTTAATATGAAAGAGCTACTCATTTTTGTATTCTTGTCCAGAACTTTCTGCAAACCTAAGTGACTCAGATCCAATTTATTTAATCTGAGGTTTTCATAACATTTAGCAGCAATGTAGTGGTTTATCTTTATCTGATGGTAGATGTCAAATTGCTTCATCTGCTGGCTGCTTTATTTTCATTTGCTATTGGTTGAGTTCTTTGTTATTTTTGGTTAAGCTTTTTTTAAAGTGGTCCAGGTTTTTAAGCAAGATATATATACTGATGTAATTACTTCCATGTAATGCTACATCAGGCAAATGAACATGCATGGTTTTGCTGGCTGCACCAAATATCATGTCTTTATGTTCAGTTCATGTTCAACTGAGCAAAACACCCATAACTAATTACTGACCGCGACATGATGTCTGGTGATAACTTTTCTTCCTATTTAAATTGGTTAAAATGAAACTGTCTTGCATCTCTAATAATGTCAACGATGAATTGTGGCTGCAGAATTCAAGGATATAAAACATGTCCCCTGTACAGAGTTACTCTGTATTTGTCTGTGACCTTTGTTGATATAGCTGTAATATTATAATCTCTTACTGTGTTGGTAATTAGCTGGCAAACTGCAATGTGGTTTTGAATTCATCTTGGAGGAGGAAATTTCATTTTCATGTCAGCTGGAAAAGAAAAGCTGAGAGACCTCTCTCTTGTGGAGAAAGAACCAGGCTGCATCTTCTGGGAAGATCTGAGCCTCAAGGGATGGAGATGTGAGGTTCTACCAGCATTTTCACCAATATTTTGTACTCTTGCCATTTCTGAATATATTCCATATTCAATTAGGCTTTTAAATGTTAAATGTGAGTGAAGATAGAACATTTCCTGGCTATCTCATGATTGCATACAGCTATCTGTGGGATAAGAAAAGATCAACTTCTCAATAATTTCTGACTTTCCCTTCTCCGTTTGGCTTCAGGCCCACCCATCTACCCATTAAGTTCAAAAATAGACAGCTGCTTGATCCATGTGGGAGGACTGGGGCTGTGAGGCTGGGAATGAGATGACACCAAGTTAATGAGCCTGCTAGTGATTTTAAGCCATTGACCTATAGGGCAGGAGCTGAGTAACTTTTTTCTTTCAACTGCTGGTTGCCATTTCTCCGATCAGTCTCTCTTCAGTGTTGTATTTCCAGCAAGGAGTTTCCTCTGTAGTTTATTTTCTGACAGTAGTGATCATTCCCCCCAATCCCAGCAGGTATGATCCTTCCTGATTGAAGATCTTACCTGGGAGCTGAGTAGAATATCCATATATAGGTTAGTGCTGGTGCTTTCTGATAAACATCCAGAATAAGTATTTAACAGTCTCTAACTGTTCTGCTCTGTCCTTAGAATCATAGGAACGCTGTATTACAGTAATTGACTAGCGCAGAAAAATAAGATAACAAATTATGACAAATATAGCAAAACGCAATAATGATAAAACCCATGAGGTCAAATATGGGAGGGGGAAGGAGAGAGATTCTCAAGCAATGCAGTGTTGGAATATCTGGTCTCAACTGTCAGAATTAAAGATGGTTTGTGATAATTATGACGGACTGAGGACACTATTTAAGAATGTAATGGTTGGTGAAATGGCTAAGCACTGCATTTTTCAGGATCGATTTATTCTCTTGAATGTGAGACAGAATTTGAAGTGATTTTGATTGTGAAGGTTGGCCCTCTACAAGTGGCTTATCTCCACAGTAACATTACTTTTTGCCATATATACCTAGGAAATTTTCCCTTTGGATTTTTACATACAGTAAAAGGTGAAGCATCTTTTGCTGTAACTTAAAATTATGTTGTATTATAATGTGAATATGATTATGGAACCCCACTACACAATGTCTTGATTTTTAAATCTCCAGGTCCCCCAGGCACTCCTTAGTTTTTAAATACGAAACTGTCCCCTCTGATATATGAGGAAGTGCATATAGATAACTAATCTCAAGTGAGATATGCAAATCGCAGGAGTAAGTTTATGCTTACAATTCCCGTGCTCTCAATAGTCAATGCTCCACTGAATTATATAGTACTATTTGACATAAGCAGAGCAGGGGAAAAAATCTGCTCTTTGCTCAGAGTTCTTTTTTAAAAGTGAAACTCTGTAAAACAGCTAGATCCGTAAGTGATCTCAGTAGGTTAATCAGGTAATGCAGATCTATTCTCTTTTAATGTTCCTTATGTACATTCTTCTTGATTCACTTTTGTTTTTACCTGCTCCTTCGGCTGTAATGATTTAGTAGCGAAGGTACTGCCTTTATTAGTCACCTTGCAGCAGTCCCAGGATATAAAGTTTAAAGCTAATAAGTGAAACAAATGATAAGTAGGTCCAACTTGCTTTTCCCAGATACAAGGATGTGTCTTAGTTCCAAGGAACTAGAAGAAGGACATGGGGCAAAAAACATTGTTCATTTTTGCCTGAGTCCCATTTCTTACTTGTGGACTTTGTGGTCTCTTTCAGATCCGCTGGCTCCCTCCCTCAGAGGCTACTTCTCAGGGCTGGAAGTCCCGTCAGTTCTGCTGAATCCTGTGTGAGTACAGCACAAGCACCACTGGCCAGAGGCTCCAGCCGATCACCAGGGGAAGTACAAGGGCTGTGGCTTCTGGTTTTTGTGGTGTGTGTAGAATGAACGTCTGTGCCTGTGATTACTCACCCTTGCAGCTGTTCCCTTTCCCCCACCTCCACATATCTTCCCTGTGAAAAACTACACTTTGACAAGGAGGACACTCTTGTGTAATTTGGAGGGGACAGATTTGTTGTTCTATCTATGGCATATTCTTATTAGTAATAGTATTAGTAATATTAATATTCTCGAAGCTCAAATCAGCATACACCGGAGTCCTAATTGTTAATTAAGAGAAACTGGGCCTGGACAGAGTGATGATTGAAAATCATGGTATTCAAGTGGGAACTGGACTCTGCATCTCTTCAAGTCCAAGACCAGCATCTGAATCATTGACTTAAATCAACTGAATTGGCTGAAATTAGAATTTGTAATGCCTTCAAAATGACATATATAAGAAAAAGCATTTTTTGTACATTTTTGCTCATGGTAAAAAAAAGGGGGGGTGGGGTGGAAACAGGGCTAAACCTTATTTTAACACGATGTTATTAATCTGTTAAAAATGGGTGTAGGAATGAGCTGAGCTTGTTGACAGTAATAAAAAAATAAATTATGAAATTATAAATTAAAGACCCCAATCATGTAGGCTAGTGGGTATATTTGGAATGTTAAGGCCATTACAGTGAATTAAATCTGATGATGTTCCTCAGATACCACAACAAAAGACAAAATATGTTGCTTTCTATAGTTGCCCACCTTGCCTGTGATGGGAGCTTTCCAAGCAGAGTCTTTTGTAAAGATTGCATTCCAACAAGAGGACCTCAAGATGCCTTCCTTTCTCCAGTGATTAGTTATCCCCCATTCTTTTAGGGATGTAAATAATCCCTTCCCTGTGTGTAAGAGAACCCTGTAATATGTAGGTAGGGTTGGGAAGAAGGGAGTACTATTTTGCCTGGGTTCAAGACAGATAGAGAGCTGTCTTCAGATGACCTGAAATAGCTATAGCACTTAGACTTAAATACTGCCCTCTCTAAGCAATTTAAAGAGTCAGCATAGTGCCCCCAACAATCTGGGTCTTCATTTTACCAACTTCAGAAGGATGGAAGGCTGAGTCAATCCTGACTCAGTGAGAATCAAACTGATGGCAGTTGGCAGAATTAGCCTGCAATAGTGCATTCTAACCACTGTGCCACCATATGGCTCTTACTTGAATGTCAGAATAGACAAGTGATATATACCTACAATGTCAAGGGTTCATGTACAAACAATTCCATCTACCCTCTAGATAAAAAGAACCCAAGCCAGCCTCTGATTTTTGAAGCTTTTTGTTTCTGAATCAAAGAGGGTTAATTCACCAGTTATCTTTCTCTATTTTTAAATTATTTTTAGCCAAATAAAAGGAATCTGCTGTGGGTTTTTTTTAAAACAACAATAACAAAAAATAAAACTTCACTGGCTGTGCTTCAGGGTTGGAAAGCAGTAAATCAAGAGTACATACTCACAGGGCTATTGAAGGACAACGGCCATGAGATGAAAAAAAAGAAGAAAAAATGCAAGCTGAATTTAGTTTTGTAAATAAAATGGGACAGCTTAAGAATGCCAAGCAGTATAGCTGCCCTGATGGGCAGAAAGGAGGAAGAAATTTTTCTCCCGAGGAGCTGCTGGTCTGAGTCAGGCAGTGGTCGAAACTCAAAGTCCTCCCCACCACTCCTTTGGAGCTGTATTTTTCAGACCTCCTACAGATAGATTATTCTTTCTGCATACTATGTCTCCTTCCTACCCCTGAAGAAGCTCTGTGGATTTAGGAACTTAATGCATATTCTCATTTCAGCCCTGGGAGTTGAAACTATTAGGCTTCATTATCTTATGGTGTAGCCTGGTAGCGCTCCAAAATGGATTGGTTGCTTTTCTTGCGTTCTTTGCTGGCTGAAGACATGTGACAGAATACAAGCTGTTGTTCAGAAAAAGGTATACATGTGCCATGAGTGATGTCAGATACAGAGTTGTGACAGTTGCAGAGAATGGTTTTGAGTTGAAAGAGGGAGGTGTCAGCATGCTCAGAGGAACACACCAGATTTAGAAGGATGGCAACATAATTAGATTAAAAGAAAATGAGCAAAACAGCTCTTAACAGCAGTAAAATAGAACTAAACATCAGCAGTAGGATAAGATGCTGGCCGACTGCAGGAAAAACAAAATGGCTGGGTGTGAGAATGTAATGGAGCATACAATAAAAAAGTCTTGGCAGCTTGGTGAAACCTTAAAAGAAGAAAATTGATTTGATGGGGATCACATACAGTGCTGTCAAAATATGGTTTCTTGATTGTGGTTTAGTGTGTTATATAAATCTAGGTACTGCGGTTTATGACTTAATGTACATTTAAACCCTAATTGTGGCATACTGAACCATGACTTAGCATGACATATCAACCCAGCAAATCCCACTGACCCATTTTCCCCTCACATAAGAACACTTTCAGATTCTACGGGACAATCTCAAAATCACAACACCAGAATATTTCTGATGCAGCTTCTGCTTAGTCAGAAGTCAAAAAACTGGTCGGCAAACTTCAATAATGTTAATGGCTCAATAGAGCCAACCAGGAAAAATACAGTAGTCCAATGATAAAAAGAAATTGCTGTTGCTGATACAAAAGTGGGCTACCATTTCCAATTCCTTTACATTTGAGAATGTGGCTAGTTTTGGATTATGTAACTGTGTTGGCTGGGGATTTGGGAGTTGAAAGCAAACATACTTGAAGGCCATCTAGTTGGAGATGGTTTTGAAGAAGCTGTGTGATGTTCACTGGCAGTCTATAGAACATCATAGAGTTCAGATGACTTCTCTTCATGCTGTGCTTATGAGCACCCAACATGAGACCAGTCTTTGCTGGAAATTCACTACTCAACCTTTTAGTTTGCCACAGCATGTTTTTATCATGTATGAAATTGTTAAGCATCTCAGAACAAGTTGAAGCTTCATATCTAAATTTTAATCATGTTTAGTCCAGTATTGTATTACATTGGGAGAAGAGATGCTGTTCCTCTTCATTTTAAATCCCGCAATTTCTATTCCAAAGTGAGTTTTGAAATTGCTAAGCTTCGTTAAAAAAAAGTAAGTCCAAATGAGTACATAAATTATTGTTAAAAGAAGATAAATTTCTTATTCCAGTAACCTTTTGTCCCTCTACCAAATCTATTCAGCTTAATCTTCTCACATTTGACAATCACATCACAGCTTCATTAGACAGAATACAATGATTTGCACTGGCATTCTTTTTGCAAACTCAGTCAATGTATTTTTCCTAATATAGCAACTTTCTTTTCCCAAGCCTAAATAATTTAATCATCAGTGACTAAATAAGAATTGGCTGGTGTTTTTAAGCACAGATACAATGAGCGCAGCAGTAAGTTATTTTCATACTAGCATATTTGTGTATGAGAGGGAGAGATGTAAAAATAAGATTGGAGGACTCACAGATTTTTCTCTCCAAAACATTATGCAAACATAACCATATTTGGGAACAATTCTCTTATGTTATTGCAACAGTAAAACCACGGAACATCTGTATGTAAAGTTCATCTTCCATTACACATATGAATCTTAAGGTATCAAAAAAGGAACCAAGCTCTCTCTTTAAAAATCAAAACCATAAAATGGGTATTTCAAACATTAAAAGTACACCTGCTGGCAAAGCAGCCTAGCAATGGAAAACGGCTACATGGGTTGATCCTACTTCAGGCCGATATTTTACAATGGCCTGTTCCTATTTGGAAGATGAGCCAATACTTCAAGTTCATTATTCTTGCTGGCTTAGATCATTTTGAGGAAGAGATTCTTGGACTCCACAAATCCAACTTTTGCAAATAGAAAAGCTGCCTTTAATTGATTTCAGTACCTATCTTTGGGCAAGTAATTATTCCTTATCCTAGCCTATGTCTCTAGGCTGCTGGTAAGGGTGAGATTTATTTTTTTGATCTTATTCCACAGTTGGACAAAAGGATGGGTAGCATACATTGTTGAGTAATCATTATAAAATCAAGCAAAAAGTCAGCATTTCCACTGACTTTTAACAGGATTACAGTTTTCATTTTGCAAATAGATGCCATGTAATTATAATTAATTGTTTAGTAGATTCTCCAAATTGTTTCAATCACTGGAAATCATATCATCTATAAACAGGAACAAATTTCAGTTAATTCACATTCTTGTGATTCAGTGTGACATTTAGCAAGTTATCATTTCCTAGTCTTGAAGAGGGTAGATGTACCAATTCCTCAAGATCTTCTTCTGTTGCTCTAATAGCCAGGTAAAATGGCCTATCTCCCACGGGTAGAAAAGGTTTCTGCAGTTCAAATGTTGGGAAACAATAGGATTGCAACCTTTGGAAAAGCAGTTAAAATGCTACTTGTCCACAAAGCCTTCAGAGATTAAAGGTAGAGTGTAAAACTGCAGTTTTCTTGGCAAGGTTTTTCAGAAGTGATTTACCTTGTCCATATTTCCTAGGACTGAGAGAGAGGAACTGGCGCAATTGGCTTTATGCCTAAGGCATTGGAATTCAGATCTCCCAGTTTCTAGCCTTAACCACTAGAGTGCATTGGCTTTATCATATATTGGTAACACTGAAATAAAATGTATAGTCAGGAAAAGAAATCCAAAAAAACAGTATTTCTGAACATTAGATAAAAACATTAACCCAGTGTACAAAGTTTGCTGAATAACTAAGTTCTATTCTAGCTATTTGTACCATAATTGTGTATTGTATTTCAGTTGGTTGCAGATTAATAAATAACTCTGTGAAGAGTTCATTGTGCCTTGGGTATATAGATCAGGCTACTTCTATTTTTATCTATTATCCAAACCCTGTTTGTTAGCAGCGAAAATAGTTTTCATAGTCCTGTCTCCGGCTTCCGGAGCGCCTCCGGACCCCAGGGGGAAGCCATTTTCGCCCTCCCAGAGGTCCAAGGGAAGCCTCCGGACCCTGGGGAAGGCAAAAAACGGCCCTCCTGGAAGTTTCAGTAGGCCATGCCCACTATTGCCACACCCACCCAGCAATCAGGCAGCAAACTGGTTGCTGGGATTTTTGAATACCACCCCTAATGCTCAGGCTCTTTTAAGTTGTGTAAAACAGAGATCTCTTTTGAGTGGCTGAGGCAATTTGTTCTCATTTGGTCTTCATTTTCAGGAATAAGATTAGCAGATAATCAAGAGGAAAAAAGAGAAATGTGTAGCCTATACTAATTAGTGATACTTTATAAATTTGGTATATAATAAATGAAGTTCCTGATGACACATTTATTTCTGCCTTAGGTATCAGGTGTGTGATGGCGGCTACACTCTGTCTTGTGGGTATTAATACATTCTTCCAAAGTCGCTATTGATGTCTTACCTTCATCTTCCAAATTGCAGTGTGGTCGGTAAGTCAGCATCTACTGCAATCATAAAAATACACTTTATTTTGAATGAATCAAAAATCTTTTAATATCTCTTCAACATTGGAAACAGAGACCAGGCTTCTACACTAATACAGCAGGTGGCTTTAGTTCACTTTGTTTCATAAGTAAGTGGACAGGTATTTTTTTACTCAATTGTTTAATTAGGTTCTCTTTATCTAGTTTTAGGGCTTGTATGAAGAACAGTTCAGGTAGTATTTATGCAGAAATATTGAAAATTCAAAAGGGTTCACAAAACTTTCAAGCACCATTGTATTCCACCAGCAATAGTAAGGGTCAATAAGGTTATTATTTTTTGCTATTGTACCTTACTCATTAAAACTTTACACATTATACTCCTAGACTGTGGCTTAATTTACTGCATTCTCAGTTGTACAGGTCGGAGAGTCCAAAGCGTGGGCTGTCTCTTGCTTCCTTGCTCAAAGATGGAGTCAATCAAAGTGTAGTCCAGCCCACTTTCCACTGCGCATGCCCAGTTTTTGACTCTGTCTTCATGCAAAGAGGACACGAGGAGAGAGTGCTCAGAAAGAAAGATATAGGATCAACGCTTTGGATTCTTTGAGAAAAAAAAGAGAGAAAAGAGAAAGAGTGAAAGTCAGCAAACCGTGAGTAAGCGAAAGAGCCGGGACCTCATCCCAATGCGGGAAAGCCCGCATAGCTGTTTGGTGTTAAGAAAATAAGCGGCAGCAGCCTCAGTAAGAGCGGGCGGGCTCTCGATCAGCTAGCAAAGGAGAGCAAATTAACTCAGCTTTCCCAGAGCCTTCGTTAAACAAACCAGAAACCGCACAAGCCTCCAGCACTCTCTTTAATTGGAGGCTGAGCAAGTTACCATCACAGCCACACACGCCTACCCAGGAGAAAGGGAGGCTAGAGTCCATGCTCAGGCCGGTCTGAGTATACTCTATCGGCAAAAGCCAAAGGGAAAGATCATGGCCGAATTTTCTGAAACAGAGGCAAGCCTGGAGGAGCAGGAATCCCCTGCCCCCAGTTTGAGCAGAGAGCAAAGCACAAAGGAACCCAGAGAGGCTGGGAGAGCTTCAGAAAGGCCTCTCAGCAGGGTGTCCAAGGCAGATGAGAAGGAGGCATTAAGGAGACAAAGGGACATGGAGAAATGCCTCCCAAGGCCGGAAAAGGAGGCGAAGAATGGAAATTCCCGCGCTCCAACAGGCAAACCAATGAAAGCGAAGTATCAGGAAAGGAGCGCAACGCTAGAGGGCACTGCTCTTTGTGTGAACGAAGGATTGAATGGATCAGAAAGACAATGCTCTCAGGCATGCAATGAAGAGCCCTCCCCCAGGAGAAAGAGATTTTCAACTGAGTTTCTTCCTGATTTTCTTCCTCCACAGCATCGGAAGTCAGGGAGCAGTCCTTTAAAGAGGAAATGAGGGCTATGATGAAAGAAATGATGGCAGAATTCAGGGACAGTCAGGGTAACAGACCCAGCCTGATGCATAATGAGAGGAGACAGGATGCTCATCATCATGCTACTCGAGCAGGAGAAGTAAGGGAGGAACTGGGCTTCCAGGGAGAAAGTTCCAGTAGATCAGACACTCACAGTGAGGCCTCCGTTTCAAGAGAGGAAGAATATAGGGAGTCAGCTTTCTCAGATGAGGAAATTAATGAACCAGAAACTCCAATGTTCACAGGTCTATTTCGTCACCAGCTGTTTAAGATGCTGCTGGGGAAGGCTAAGATAGCAACAGGCCTGGGGAGAATCACAGGGACAGAACGGTCTGAGTTAGAACCATCTGATCCCAAAGATAGATTCTTTGCCAGAACCAAGGTTGAAAGTGAATCCATACCTTCACCTGAATTGTTCAGGGAAGTGGTGGAAGGTCAGTTGTACAAACCAGTTATTTTCCCAAAGCCAGGGAGGGAATGAGAGGAAATTTTATAATGCGGAACTAGCGGACTTATTCCCAGTCCCCAAGATAGCCCAGTGGCAACTTCCACGTCTGCTACAATGTTGGCTAACGAAGCTGAGGATGATCTAAAGGGGGAGGATAAGAAAACAGAACAGACCCTACAAAAAGTTCACCAGGCCACGGCATGGGCGGTAAAGGCCACATCCACGGCATCATTTTTCAGCAGAGCAGTCCTGATATGGATTGAACAGATGCAGGAAAGGATGCCACCTGGCAATCTTCGATTGCAACAGGATTTGAACAAAATAACTGCTGCAACAGAGTTCATAGAAGACGCCACACTTAATGGGGTCAAGTACGCAACTAAGGCCATTGCAGTTTCAGTAGCTGCAAGGCGACTTGTTTGGCTCCACCACTGGCAGGCAGATCTGAAACATAAATGGAAACTGGCATCAGCTCCAGTTAAAGGGGACAAACTTTTCGGGGAGGCCACTGAGCCATTACTGATTGAAACAAGGACAAGAGGAAGGTCTTACCCAGGAAACTTGGTCAGGCAGATAGGCAACCTTCTCCATATACACGGCAACAGCCCTTTCCTATCTCAGGGAGTGGCTTCAGCCACTCCCCATACACACAGAGACAGTACACACAGACCCCTACTAGACATCCAGATAGGTCAGGATTTAGAGATGGGGTGGACAACAGTCCCAGGAAAGGCGCCCCTTCTGGAGTTCGACCGGCAGGGCCTTCCGGCATACAAAATGACAGCCGGAACAATGAGCCCATCGGCGGGAGGCTGGGCCTATTCACTAACCGATGGGTGTCGACTACAACGGACAAGTGGGTCCTAGACACATTAAGAAAAGGCCTAGTTCTGTAATTCATCTACATACCCCCGAGCTCATTCAGAAGATGCCCGACGCCAAGGGACAGAACCAAAAGGGTAATTATGGAAACAGCAGTTCAACATCTGCTGGACATTCGGGCGGTACAAGTGGTACCAGAGAACGAACAGGGACAAGGGTTCTATTCAAACCTGTTTGTTGTGCAGAAGGCGTCGGGGGGGTGGAGACCAATTTTGGATCTCAAATTACTAAACAGGCACATAGTATGCAGGAGATTCAAGATGCAGTCCCTGCAAGCTATACTAGGGAGCAGAAGGGAGGGGGATGTCCTGACATCAGTAGACCCCACAGATGCTTACCTACACATACCTATTACCAGGAGGCATCAGAAGTTCCTGCGGTTTTGTTACACAAGGAGACACTACCAGTACAGGGCTCTACCATTTGGCCTGTCTTCAGTGCCAAGGACTTTCACCAAGGTCCTGGCAGCAGTAGCAGCCTTCCTCAGGACAAAGCCCATATGGGTCCAATGCTACTTAGATGACATATTAATAGTCAACATCGACTCAAGAGCACAGAGCAATCTAGAAACCATGATACAGACATTACAAGACCATGGCTTTTCGGTGAATTTTGAAAAGAGCCACTTAGAACCGACTGGGCAATTACAACACTTAGGAGCTGTAATAGACACCAACTCCTGTGAGGTTTACCTGTCACAGGAAAGGCAGAACAGCATAAGGTCATAAATAAATCAAGTGAGCACAGGTCCGGGGGTGTCCATGGACTTGCTGTCACAAATACTAGGGAAGATGATATCGTGCATCTCGATAGTACCTTGGGCCAGGCTGCACACAAGGACATTGCAGTGGTTCCTATTACCTTACCAGAGAGCAGGCAAGGGCAATACAGGAACCAAGGTATGAGTCCCCCCCAGAGTGAAGCAGTTACTCTAGTGGTGGAGATCACCCGCAGTGACAAGGGGATGGAGATCACCCGCAGTGACAAGGGGAACCCACCCGACTATCACAACAGAGTGTGATAGTCAAGTTTGGTAGGCTGGGGAGCCCACTGTCGGAGCCAGATTACAGAGGTCAGTGGTCTCAGTCAGACCTCAAGAACAACAACTGGTTGGAGCTCAGGGCATCTCATCTGGCTCTAAGAGCCTTTAGGTCAGTGATAGTGGGACAGCATGTGTTGATCCTGACAGACATGACTGCCAAAGCTCATATCAACAGGCAGGGGGGTACTCACTCCCTAGCGCTCATGCAAAAAGCAGAGCGATTGGGCCGCTGGGCAGAGACGCACCTTCTATCGATCAGGGCAGAACACATATCGGGAGTGGAAAACGTTCAGGCAGATCGGCTCAGCAGAACAATGGTCGACCACTCAGAGTGGCGCCTACACCCAGACCTGTTCAGGGAACTGTCGCACAGATTTGGGAGAGCAGTCCTGGACCTGTTTGCGATGCCAGCAAATGCACAACCCCCGAGATTCTACTCGAGATTCCCAACATAGCACCAATACGCTCCGAGGAGCATGGCCAAGGAGTTTGCATTTCCCCCATTCCCCTTGAAACACCAAGGGTAATCAAGAAAGTGATAGAAGAGGGGGCGGAGGTCTTAATGGTAGCACATCACTGGCCCAGGAGGTCTTGGTACACGGATCTGGTAGATCTGTCGGTATCCAGACCATGGAGAATTCCCCCAGACAAGGTAGAACTGAGTCAGGGAGCCATACGACACCAGAGCCACAACGGCTGCAACTAACCGTATGGCACTTGAGAGGACCACGCTAAAGCATTTAGAGTACTCAGACAAGGTAATACAGACACTCCAGGCATCCAGGAGACCATCAACCAACAGAATTTATGATGCTACTTGGAGAGCATTTGGAACCTGGTTTTCCAAGAAACAAATAGATCCAACCACAGTGTTAGTTACTCAAGTGCTGGATTTTCTCCAGGAAGGCCTGGAGAAGGGTTTAACCCCTAACACCTTAAGGAGGCAGGTAGCAGCGATAGCTTCAGTGTTGGGTTGTGGGACCTCAGAGTCCCTCTCACGACACCCCCTAATCCATACCTTCATCAGGGAGCAACCAATCTAAAGCCACCAGTGATACACAGGTATCCTACTTGGGACTTGACAAGGGTGCTAAGGGCACTCATGACTGAGCCCTTTGAACCGCTGAGGTCAGTAGGACTTAAGGTGGCCTTCCTAATAGCCATTACATCAGCCAGAAGAATTTCAGAGTTGGCAGCATTATGCGTGAGGGAGGACCTCTGTATAGTTCACCCAAATAGGGTAGTATTAAGATTACATCCGACCTTTATCCCAAGATCAATTCTATGTTCCATAGAGCACAAGAGTTAGTACTACCAGACTTCTGCCCAGAACCGGTCCATAGCCTAGAAAGGAAGTGGCACTCCTTGGATGTTAGGAGAGCTATATGCATTTATATTAAGAGAACAAGTTCCATTAGAAAAACAGAAGCATTGTTCGTTTCATTTAGATTGAGTTCGCTGGGACAAAGGCTTTCACCGTCTACCATAGGCAGATGGATCAAGACATGTATCATAAAAGCTTATGAAAGCCAATCATTGCAATTGCCAGGTAACATAACGACACATTCAACCAGGAGTGCAGCCACATCAGCGGCATGGAACACACAGGCCTCAACTGAAGAGATCTGTAGGGCAGCAACGTGGTCATCACCATCTCCATTCATCAGAAATTATAAACTGGATACATTTGCATCAGCGGAAGCATCCTTTGGAAGAAGAGTGCTACAAAGAGTTCACACGGAGATGGGGGCTCAGGACAATTAGCTTGGGTACGTCCCACGCTTTGGATTCCCCGACCCGTACAACTGAGAAAGAGCATTGGGCTTACCTGAAACGCATCTTCTAGTTGTACGGGAGGAGACTCCAAATCCCACCCTTAGATAGTTAGCCCCAAGCTCAGAATGGTCAAAAACGAGCACCAAAGAACTCTCCAAGTCAATCATCAGCCTTCATCAAAAACTGGGCATGCGCAGTGGAAAGAGGGCTGGATGAAACTTTGATGGACTCCGTCTTTAAGCAAGGAAGCAGCCCACGCTTTGGATTCTCCTCCCGTACAACTAGAAGATGCGTTTCAGGTAAGGCCAATGCTCTTTTTCATGGCAAGTACTCCAGTATAAACCACCTGCTTACCTCCATCCAATATCCAGTTCTTTAGTATTAGCCTTCACTGTCTCTTCCCATTTTGGCATCCACTATATTGTAATTGTCATTCTCTGAATTTCACTTTAACAATGCCTCCGGGTTTGGGAAGGCTATTCTAGGCTTTCTGGCCATTTGGGGACCTTTAGTTGTGTTGTTGTTTCCTCATAAGCATGTCTTTTCTTTTTTACAGGCTTTTTTAAAAAAACCTCACACAAGCGTGGATTCCTTCAAGACTTTGCCACAGCCTCTATCACACATCTTCTTAAAAATAAAATAGAAAGTATTGAATAATAATGGTTATGATAAAAATGCCAAATCCAGCCTAAATATCTGGTTGACTATGTGATGAACCATAATAATAATAATAATATGTTCCTCTTCTACACTGTATAAAAGTTTAAGCGTTTAAATTCTATAAGCATGAATGAATTTCTGGTTTGAAAAAAATTATTTTCAAGCAGAGCAGCAAAGAGAAGAACTATTTTTTATACCAAGCATTTTAAGTAAGAGGACTGTACCTTGGGTGGAAGAACTGATTATTGTATACGTTTGATTTTTAAATATGTATAATCTCCTTTCCCTACCACCCTTTTAAGATGCATGTTCAAGGCATGTTTTTAAATCTGGTTCAGATTTTTTAAAAAGTGTATTGTTTGAAATGCACATTTTGGTTATCAGGTTTTGGAGCCTGAGATGGTGTGTTTGAAGTGTATTCCTGTTGTAGTTATTTTCATGTTTCGCCTAATTGTGCCAAATTATATTGAGCAAGACAATCAGCAATATAATAGCTTTTTCATGATTGTAACAGTTGGTGCGCTGTATGTTAGCAGTGCCTGATGCTAGTTCCTGCTGTATTTTTCTCTCTATATATTTGGATATGCAATTGTGTGGGAATAAGAAGTAGTACACTGTAGAAAGTAGAAAGGCAATTTCTATTATGAATGGAAATGTGCAGTCATAATTATGGACATTTCTACAACTGTATCTATCATAGTATACTTCTCTTCAGACAAATATATCTCATGCAGTTGTGTGTATTATTTAGAAAAGGAAAAAGGAAAAAACCCTGGTATTTGTGAGAATCCATCCTGGATGACCAAGCTGCCCAGGAAGTTATGTATTTTAAATCATGTTTCTAACATCCATATCATCTACTTTTGTAAGAACTTATACACTGTGTGTATCTTTGGAAGGTAGTTTAGTTTTGTGGTTTTGTTCCAGATATAAAGCAGATTGGTTCTGGTCATTTATTGTTAATCATATTCTTGGGGAAGGTAAGAGGTGACTGGACCATTGATCCAGAAAACTGAACTTCAGTTGTTGATCCCAGCACCTCATGCTGATGAAAAATGCCAAAGGTTTTTGCTGAATCTGATTCTAATGAAATGGCCATTGTTGGGACATTTGGCTTGCCAGCTATTCTTGATTTTTCCCAGATAATCTCAGTAGTAGTAGTCAGTCCCAAATCTATGCACTGATGCCAGATAGTGGATTTTGAAGTGGCAGCAGTAGCAGCCCCATTGCCCTCATGGTCAAAACTCTCTGCCAGGAAGAAATCTCCAAGTGCCCACTTTTAAATAGCTATTCAACTTCACCTACTGTATGTCTGTGCTTTTGGGGAAAAAAAGAGAATAGATAAAGCTGCCTCTCAAGGAACAGAGCAATTCTGGGAATGATTTCAGGCACAGCGTGCCAAGGAAAAGCTACTTCAAACTTCCCACTTTCTTGAAGGGTTTTATATTTAGGGGCCAGATAATGGCTGTATCCATATGACATTAGTTAGTCTGGATGGATTTTAGTACTACAATGGGACTCTGGAACATTGCTTTTTTTTGGGGGGGGGGGGGGGGGGGGAGGATGTTGTTTTCTTTCTATTGAAGAGAAAAAAACTATCCCACAGATCAACTTTAGCTCAGGTGTGACTCACAAATTCACCTGTAACCAAAGGCTGTACCTCTTAGGAGCTAATGACCTGAATTACAGAGGTTTTTTTTTTAAATCTGCTTCCTGTTTCCATTTTACATGGATATATAGTCCATTGAATTTAATACAGCTTGCTTCTAAGTGCATAAGATTGGACCTGCAGTTCTTTGGACAGCTAGGAATGCAGCTACCTAGGGCAGAAGAGTTCCTATTTCAATCATTCGCGTAAAATTATTCTTCCCTCAATTGCTGAAGGCTGCCAATGCCAGAAATCCCTCCCTGTTCTCCCTTCAGCTGCTAGCCCACCGATTTTACAATAGTGACAAGTCTGGCTCTGCTGGCTTGCTTAGTAGGGAAGCCAATAGGGTTAGTAGGATCAAACTTTTATGAAGCAGCTTCTCTGCCAGGATTATTATCACTTCTCCTGAAATAAGATACATTGGTTTGTAAGAAATATAAATTATATGTCAAAATGTAAAAGACTTTTAAGAATGCAAAATTGCAAGAGGGTTGCTTGGCTTGTTCTCCTAAGCAAACAATATGGATAAATTGAACAAATTTAAAATATAACTGTAGGTGGTTAAACAACCCTAAAAATATTTGTGCTGGATTGTTTCACAAAACACTTGATTTTTCTCTACAGCCTTTTTACTGGCAGTAAATGAATTATACAATGCTTCCAATTTGTCTATGATTTTTTTTAAAGAAAAAAGTTGTTAAAAGATACTTTTTCTATTATAATTTTCTAAAAATAAAAGCAATGAATAAAATGAAAATATGGTCTATGCTACGTCTGTTATTTACTTGTAATCCATTTGAAGAAATCAGAATATGTGACAATGTTAAAACTTAGTTTCAATACCTTGCCCCAACTCAGTTTTCATTTATACTTCCCTCTTCCATAGTTAATTGGAAAAATCTGAACATGGCTCAATACTAGCTACAAGTCAGTGTTGGCACAGATACCTCCTAAAGATTACCTCAGATTCTGAGACTTATGACAGGTAGTCTCCACAAATCACACAAATCACTATCTCAGAACTTGTCCTTAAAAATCACAGAAAACAAGAAAATTATAAGAAAAAAAATTAAAAAACCCAACCATCTCTGTTAGGAGATTGAGAGAAGTTCAAATAAGAGAGGCTAAGAAAAACCACTCCAGAGTCCTATCTTCAATGTAAAAAGGGCTTCTCCCTTAGAGCACCTTCCCAATGCTAAATACCCCATCCTGTTGACCCTGGCAAAAAAAAATTGGGTAGAAACCTGTCCCCTAATCAACTGGAGAGGATTTGAAGAAGCTTCTTGAATGAGAAGTGAAACTTCTTCAAGAAATAGAATAGAATAACACAGTTGGAAGGGACCTTGGAGGTCTTCTAACCTCCCGTGTTGGAAGGAAAACAAGAAAGTCCAGTTGCCTTTTGAAAAAGTACCTTTGGGACAACCATGACTTGAATGACTGAGAATCCCCACAGACATACAACTGGAGAGAATCCACTCTATTAGTTCTCAAGCTAGCCACTTGTAATGAGTCACTGATCTGCACTCAACAAGAGCAAGAGCCACAAGCTTACACAGATCTTATATAAAATATTAAAGGCAGCATGCATATACACTAAAGAAAATCCACAATACAGGAATAATTTTTTTTACAACTGATAACAAATGAGAATGAACACAGTACACATGGCATCCTTCATGGTGTGAAATCATTACAGATGCATTCTCAGAAAGATCACATTGTAGCTTTGCTATTGAACTGAGCTAAGAACCTGTTCTCCCAACAGACTGGCCCTGCATTCATTATGGAAGACGGAAGAGATAAGGAGGCATGACATGGATCCTCGAATCCTGCCTTTCAAGACAAGGACTATTTTAATCAATTAATCACTACCAGGCAGGCACCTACAAATGAAAAAACATGTATGTACACAGATAGCTCTCAACACACAACCTTTTGTTTATTGACCGTTCAAAGTTATAATGGCACTTAAAAGCGATTTGACCTTTGCAGCATCCCCATAGTTACATGATCAAAATTTGGACTGGCTCATAATTATGACAGTTGCAGTGTTCTGGGATTATGTGATCACTTTCCCAACATTCTGATAAGTGAAGTCAATAGGGAAGCCAGATCCACTTAACTATGTTACTAACTTAACAGCTGCAGTGATTCACTTAACAACTGTGGCAAGAAAGGTTGTAACATGAGGCAAAACCACTTAACTGTCTCACTTAGCAACAGAAATTTTGCACTCAATTGTGATTATAAGGCAAGGACTACTTGTATATGTATAGTATATCAGTAAGCATAAATATAACTGATTCATCCTGAGCTCCTATTCAAATCTCCATGCAGATTATTTGCTTCTTTCTTGTTTGCAAATACTCGTGTAACATTTGTGGGTTAGAGTTTAAAAGGCTCACAGACCATTTTCAGTTCAGTACAATTTATAGAAGTTTGGGACAAGTGAAGAAACTGAGGTTCAGCTGCTGGAATAACACTCTTTTACATATGTCCCCCATATTTAAAGCAAAATGACTGAAGTACTGTAGTAATAATAACAGGATTTTCCAATTTCTTAATTCTGAAACCAAGATTTAATCGTTTTCTACCTGACTCTGTAATAGGAAAAGGAATTCTAAAGGACCTGATGGTGAAATACATTTATTTTAACCAAGCCAAGCATATGCCTCTGCTGGTCGCTGAGCAGTAGGATTGTAAAAGATTCACACCAACACGTTTGCAACTACCCAACTCCTGAGTCTCAAGATGGAAACAACAATGTCACCATTATGACTTTGTGATCATTGCTACTTTCATCAGTCCTGAAAGCCTGGCACTCTCTCGTGTCCTATCACCAAGTTCTTTGTGCTATAGAAAGTGACAGGAAGAGCCAAATAGGCATTCTTTACATATTTTCTCAAATTTCATTTGCTTTTCTCTATTCTCTAGAAGCTTGGAAGGACTATGATAAATTATATATCAAATGCATTACAAATAGCTTTATACCAGTGCTCTCGAGCAAACATACAAAATCTTGCTACAGTAGTTTTTCCTTTTCATGTCTTACTTCATAAAAGTATAAATATTAGAATTAAATTACTCTAATTTGCTCAATAACACCGAACAGACCTGTATTTTTACCACTAATCTAATCCAATTTAAAAATTATGTTCTCATTTTGTGAAGCCAGGCTTTTTTCAGTGAGGCTATCTATACTGAACCCACATTCTTCTGGTTTCCTTGCTCAGTTTAAGCTTTAAAGCCAAAAGAAAATCCATATTTAAATTTCCTCTCCACATTTGATAAGCTCATGGCCAGACCTCGCTTACTGCCTGATTAATTACATCATTATCAATTACTAAAACTATTTCTAGAGCAGCCATTTTTTGTTTCATTATCTTTCATTTCTGCAGAACAAGGTGTAAATGCACAATTGGTTCATATTAAATCAATTACCCATATTAAATGAATTATACATTCCAATAATTGGGAAGAGATATATTCTTACCTTCGCTTCCCCCAACTCATACCTTTTTCTTTCCTTCATCACAGCCAGCAGTCATATAATGAAAGGTCACTCTATCACTACACATGAAGAAGCAGACTTGTCTCAATTTTTTTTAATTCTAAAGTAAATCACAAACAATACAAATACACTTGTGTGCAAAAATTAGGCACCCTTGGTCAAATTGTACATTTCAATAAATCCTTAAGCAAACAGAAAATGGCAAAATTTCTACATAATACAAAACCACACAATAGTGTTCTACAAATTTCAATGCATACTTAACAATTTACGTGCAGTTATTTATAGATTCAAGGTAAGAAGATACTCGGAGCAGAAGTTTGGATACTCTTTCAGGCAGTACTTTGTAATACCTCCTTTGGGAGACATTTTCTGTAACCAGCTGAGTAGTTCTAAGCTTTGGTTTTGGAATTTATTCTCACTCTTCATTAACAGAACTCTTCCAACTCAGAAATATTCTGAGACTTCTTGGCCTGCAATGTACTTTGGGATCTCCCCAGATTTTCAATAATATCTAGGAACTGGAAAGACCATTCTAAATCCTGTTTTCTTGTAACAGTTTCATAATTTATTTGGAGGTATATTTCGGCTCAAGGATTTGTGACATAAATGGAATGTTAACACAATTTAAAAGATATTGCATGGGCACCCTGATGGAATTGGTACCAGCAGAAACAACCAACTGAAATAGTCTTAAAAATTCAAATGGAATCTTCAGGATAATATAAGAAATGTCACTTTGTGGAAAAAAAATAAGTATAAAAAAAGAGTTTTCATTTCTAAATAAAAGCTTCATCTTAAACTATTACCTAAAATATTATCTGTCTATATCTAAATTGAGTGTCGCCTTTAGCTGCTATTCAGTTAAAAAGCATGGAAAACATGTGAAAAAAATCTTCAACTTTTTTGAATGATTTTATTAGAAACATGTTTTCTTGACATCAAAAATCTTAAGATTTATCTAGGTTACCCCAACTGAATAAATTGCCATAGAATGCCAAAGAATTCTTCAAAGAAATTTTAACTGATGAACACGAACCTCAGCATTACATGCTAAATATATTTACCCCCAATATCAGAAGTCTACTGATAATGAATGGCTCTGATCCAAGTTTATATTAACTGGTAAAGCAAATGTTATGATGAATAGTTTATTCTTGATCCCAAAAGTTGTTACTTTTCATCTGCTACAGAAATGGAAGAGGAAAGACCCACATCAGATATACAAAGGATATCTGTGTCCTAAGCATCCACATCAACATAAACAGTTCAGTTCAGAAGACTAATTTATTTGCCAGGAACTACATCGGAATAATCCTTCAATACACCAGCCAAATGATCATTGTGAGTTTTGAATCTCCGTTTCTTCTGAGATGCTGGCTTCTTC